ATTTGATTATGTACATTTGGGACTGTGGAAGGCCTATCAGCAGGCAAAGTGTGATAAAAATGACTCAGTCATGTTTTTGTGGGCTGCCTCAGTCTGAATCCAGGAGATAAATCAGGAGGTTTCAGGAGTGGGTAGTTTCTGACGTCATTAGCTCTAGCTCATTATAATATTCCAGCCTTTCACCTGCATGTTTCCCCCAACTTCAGCTTACTCCGCCTATCTGTGGCAGACGTCGTGGTAGCGTTAGCATGGTAGCGTTAGCATGGTAGCGTTAGCATGGTAGCGTTAGCATGGTAGCGTTAGCATGGTAGCGTTAGCGTGCCGATGTGGGCGCACCTCCCTGAAGAAGTGGGTGGATTGCCTGTGTCTCATTTGCATTTAAAGAGACAGGCACTCCAAAGCGAGCGCTCTGAACGGGGCTGTTTTGGGTTAGGGTTAGGGTTAGGGTTAGGGTTAGGCAGGGGGACTGAACTGCTATTGGGCTTCATCCTTATGAGATTTTGACCAAAGCTTGTCACAGACATTACATTAGGACGCAGGGGAACTAGCTTAACTTGTTGAAATAGGGTATAATATGACTCCTTTAAACTTACACAAACTTTAATAACCAGCCGACTGGTCCATCGCGTGTGTGTGAGTGTGTGTGTGTGTGTGTGTGTGTGTGTGTGTGTGTGTGTATGTGGAGGTCTCACAGTGCATTTCCCCACACGGCTGTACTTCCGGCCGTTCTCTGTCACGGCGTAGATGTAAACAAAGTTGTCGTGGGACGCGACTGCCAGGAAGTTCCCGTCTGTGTCAGAGTTAAAGGTCCGGTTAGCTTAAACCAGACCAACACGCCCCCCCCCTCCCCCCCGGACCCGGGCGCCTTTACCTGGGGAGTACTTAACGTTGGAGATGATCTCGTTGCCATCCGTGTGCACAGAGACCAGATCCCGAGTGTCGGTGTCCAGCACCAACCATCTGAAACACACACACCGTACACAGTTTGTAAGTTTAGTGTCGTCTCATGGCTGAATACATATTAATTTCTTTATCAATATGATATGCATCATTAGAATCAGAAGTGGGGGATTGTGGGGGAAATCAATGTATGTATGATCACTTTATTCTCTCTGGTAAATTTTCCCAATTTAATATTTTAAAGGTCCTTTCCTCCTTCAAGGTCTAAGAGAATTCCTTCTCATATTTTGGCAGTTTAAAGTGGATCAGAAGGCTAAAGATTTGTTTAAAATGCATTCACCCACCTTAAATTTCTTTATTTTTTCCCTCAAAGCAGCCATACATCCTTTAAAGTGACACCGATCCAGGATTTCTGAGGTTTATCTGAGTTTTTGTTTGGACTTTTTCAACTTTTTCTCTCATTTTTAGTCCAGCTTCAATCTTATTTGAGCCAGAAAAAGGGCCCTAACTCAAGGGCTGAACCAGCCTTGCGTCCAATCAGCAGAGCAGCAGTTTAAAGTGGATCAGAAGGATAAAGATTAGTTTAAAAAGTCTTCATCCAACTTTAATTTATACATTTTTTCCTTCAAAGCAGCCAGACGTCCTTTAAAGTGTTCTTTCTGAGGTCTATCTAGGTTTTTGTTTGGACTTTTTCAACTTTTTCTCTCATTTTTAGTCTAGTTTTAATCTTTGTTGAGTCAGTAAGAGGCCCCTAACTCAAGGGCTGAGCCAGCATTGCGTCAAATCAGCAGAGCAGCAGTTTAAAGTGGATCAGAAGGCTAAAGATTACTTTAAAAAGTCTTCATCCACCTTTAATTTCTTTATTTTTTCCCTGAAAGCAGCCAGACGTCCTTTAAAGTGTTCTTTCTAAGGTCTATCTAGATTTTTGTTTGGACTTTTTCCAACTTTTTCTCTCATTTTTAGTGTAGTTTCAATCTTTGTTGGGTCAGAAAGATGCCCCTAACTCAAGGGCTGAGCCGGTGTTGTGTCCAGCTCAGGTGGAGCTGCAGAGGCTGACCTTCCAGTCATGGTGCCCACAGCCACAACCGCCCCGCTGGGATGGAAACCGGCAGACCTCCCGGCATCCTGAGGGGGGAGGGGGGGGGGGGGTAAAAGGCCCGTTTGTAATTTCCGTCTCTCAGCTTTTTGATTTCTGGT